GCACCCTGAACCCTTTCTGGTGTAGCCATCACAGATAATCAGGGTTTTAAGTACCTCATGTTTAATGCGTCTTTTTTAAGGTCTTTAAAGTGCTTGTTTTGAATTCTGCAGATTTATAATATTTCTGCTAGAGCGTCCTTGTTAGATAGATAGATAGATAGATAGATGGATGGATAGATGATAGATGGATGATAGATAGATGGATGATAGATAGATGGATGATAGATAGATAGATGATAGATGGATAGATAGATGGATAGATGATAGATAGATAGATAGATAGATAGATGGATGGATAGATGATAGATGGATGATAGATAGATGGATGATAGATAGATGGATGATAGATAGATAGATGATAGATGGATAGATAGATGGATAGATGATAGATAGATAGATAGATAGATAGATAGATAGATAGATAGATAGATAGATAGATAGATAGATAGATAGATAGATGATAGATGGATAGATAGATGGATAGATGATAGATGGATGATAGATAGATAGATAGATAGATAGATAGATAGATAGATAGATAGATGGATAGATAGATAATCTTTATTGACAGACTCTTAGGTCCAGATAAAATATATATAAAACAACAGATCAATGAAACAAAATAGATAAAAATATATAAAATGAAAAATATAAAATGATGGCTGGATAAAAATGTATTGAATGAAGTTCCCATGAATGGTTGGGATTTTGTGTTCTTGGCCCGGCTCAGACTAGCTATAAGCTTTCTAATCTGGTCAGAGCCGATCTCCATTTCTTCAAACTGAGGTCATTCAAATAGCCGTCTACAACAAGTAAGATATGATTCCACAGTAAACCAACTTTCAAATAGTTGAACTGGCCCTTTTAAATTAAAGAATATGTTTCAGATGAGTTTATTCTGCTACGTGTTCACTAATGGAGCTGCTGTGGAAGTCCTGCAAACCTTTTTTACTTTAGAGTTTCACAAAAATCAGATGTTGCACAAAACAGAACTTCAGCATTTTTACTCCAGTCAGTTTGAGCACCAAATCCTATTTACTGATTAAAAGTTATATTTATGTAAATACTGTTTCCAGCTTCTAAATGTTCTGTCCATTTCCCTCCAGGCTTTAGGAGGTTTTTAAGAAATTTCAGTGATTGTTCACCTTGGTGAACAAACATCAAAAACAAAAATAAAAACAAACATCTAAAGTAAAATGAAGACTTTTGGACATACAGCCTGAAGGAAAGCATTCATTTTACCCCACAGTTTAAGTCTCAGTACTAAAAACACCAGCGTTTTGTAGCCTTTCTTAACATTGTTCTCCTTAAGTATAAACATATAATATTAAAAATGATTTAGGTTTATTTATGGATCAATAGCTCTGTGAAATGCTCTGCAGGTAGTCCTACTGTTGGGTACCTGATGAACCCACCTTTATACTAAAGCACCTTTCCTGTAGGTTAATTAGTGCAATCCTGACGAGCCGACAATCAACTGGACTGCACCAAAAAAGCTGAGAACTGAAAACACTTTATTCAAGGAACCAAACTGTCGACAGAATCCTGACGACCACCACAGCCAGACGCAGAACCGTTCGAGGACGGCAGAAATATGTAAAAAATTAGATAGAAACCTGAAAATAATACAAAAATCAATATATTTGTAATATTGCAAATGGTAAAAGTACTCCAACCGGTTGATAGATTTTTTTCCGCACTAATGTTTTGTGGCCACTGACACTGTGTGATTGACTTTCTTTAACTCGAGCACTTTATCTGATCAGCAGTTTTCATGCAAATCCTTTTGGAGCCATAATTACTGACAACAGCTTTTGAGGAAATATTCTGTAATTAAAGATTCTGAATTGGGAGAGCTTGATGTTTTTGTTCCTCAAACATTTTACTCCCTAAACTAAAAGTAGTCCGTATTGTGACAGCTCTAAACCCATAAGCACAGTTAACTGATATCTGCAGCAGACAAATACTTCATATAGTTTTATTAAAAACTTAGAAATCAGCCAGAATCAGATGCTGATGTGTTTATGTTTTAAATAAGTTGAGAAGCAAGGTCATTTAGCTTTTTTTTAAACCAACATTTTATTTTCATGTCGAGCAGGAAACCACATTTAAGGCACTAAACTCCAATATGTTGGTCCAGTGGACCATCTCATCACAGCTGTGAGCTGGAAAACCACAGAAAAGATGGAACAGAGAGTGATGATATGTTGGCGAAAAGATTCATTTCTTTTCAGCTTTGTTACTTTTTACTAACAGGACGTTAAATCAGGAGGGATTACTTTTCTGTTTCTCTTTTTTCATCACTGGTGGAATGTATGTGCGTGCAGGTTTGTGTGTGTTTGTGTGTGTAGGTGTGTTTGCCTTGGCCCTCACTCACCCAAGCTCTCCTCTCATTGGTCGGGTTCACAGGTGGCAGCAGAGCCCAGGAGAGCTCCACAGAAGAAGAGGCTCATGGGTAGCACAGGTCCTCGTTTCAAAAACACAAAATGGTTAAATCCACACAGATTATTTAAAATTCCCTTCCTAGTTTTTGCTGATAAATAATCTGTGGCTGGAGTGTAGTTTTTGGACGATACTGGAGTGAATTTTTGACTTTATTTTGTTAGATTTACTGCTCACACTTCCTTTCTCCATCCTCATTCCTTCATGTCCAGCGGTTATGTTTATGTTTGTGTACATATGTTTATAGAAATAGAGATGGAGGAGAGAAGGTGTGAACCTCCTGGAAAAAATGTGGTCACATCATCATCTTAAGAAGAGCAGACATATTCAGTCTTACGTATCTGATAACATACAGATCAATCAGGGCAGTTCACATTTGATTAAAAAGGGTAGAAAAGTAGGTGAACCCTTAATTAAAGACATTAAATAGCTTCAGCTCCATATTAAATTTTATTAGTGAATTATTTAGATTTTCTACTGAATCACTAATAAATAAACTCTTAATATTTATCCGTCCAGTGACTTCACCTATAACAACCTTTTAATAATAATCTTAATCCTGCAAACATGATGCTGCCTACGTTTAATTTAGCATGTAGCAAAACCCCTGCTTAGAGAAGCTATACATGGTTTCTTTAAATAAACATGATCAACGCCTGGAATATTTATTTATTTTTATGACCGTATTTGTCCGTATCGGTAACAAAATCACTTAAATAAAAATGCTGCTTTTCTGGATGCTTGAACATTAACGACTCATCAAAATATAGAGAAAGAACATTCTCAAAATCTCTAGATTTTCCCATAGCTCTTTCCCAATAACCATTTTTTATCGTTACCATTTAAGTTATCAAAGTTTTAGGGAGTCAGATGAGTAAAAATAGTGAAAATAGTTCATTAGTTTTGTTTTTAAGGCATGAAATGAAAGTAGACCAGCCCAAAAAGGCTGTTAAAACTTAGAAATGATTCCTTCCTGTTGAGTTGAAAAAGATCCATTTTAAAAAGAAATTTTACAAAGTTTTTCTCACTAAAAACTACATTTGTTAGTAGGTGTGGGTGTAAACGCATCTCTTACTCTATACAAGTCTGTGGAGAGGTGTTTCTGATCACTCTCATGAAACATTTAGGATGAGTCATCTGTGTCGGGCCTTTTGTGCCCCTTTAGGTCGCGGGGGCAGAAGCCTAAGCACAATGTCTTCTTTTAATTGACCAAAACACCTTTAGTGGTTTGTGGTCTTTAGGGACCTTACACAGTATTTTAACCTCAACCGTCAATAAAACTGTTACAAAGAAAATCAAACTGATCAAAAACAGATTTCCACTCAGAATAACTGAACCCATGAGAGGTTAAAGGACCTGATTAGATCCATGATTGGAGTGTTTCAGGGGTTTGAATGGGGAAAAATTTTCAGTTGAAGATGAAGATTCAAACATCCATCCATTTTGGCCACTTATCCGTGGTCAGGTCGCGGGGGCAGTAGCCTAAGCAGGGAGACCCAGACTTCCCTTTCTCCAGCCGCTTGAAGATTCAAACCTCTGAAATTGACTGAAACACCTCATTTTATCTGTGTGGTGAATTTAATTATTTTCTGCCTGTTTGATTACATTGGAGTAATACCTTGTACCATGGCACTATAAAGACTACAAATTAAACCCATTATTTACAAACATTTAAAATGCTAAAGCTAAATACATGCACACATCTTCTATCTTTTATAGTATCACAATATTTCATTTCTGTTGGCGATAGGTAAAATTAGTGCCATTAGGTTTGCAGAAGGTGAGATGGTTGAAATTAGAGTAGAGCCTAAAGCTTAGCTCATGTGTCCTGTAGGACAAAAAAACTCTTTCTTCAAACTGAGGCTGTTCAGGATGTTGTTTACAGTGAGTAAGATGTTGATTATTTAAAAGTGTAACAGAAAAAACTCTTAGAATATGGTTTTCAGTTCAGCAGCGTCTGAATACTATGCTGAGTAGACACATTTTCTTCCACCTGGTTAATAAGTTCTGCTCAGATCAACGACGCCTTGTAGCTGAGCCTTCATGTAGGATTTCTATTCCTACTGAGACAAACCTAACCTCTAAAGGTTAATCATGTCTTCCTTAACCTGCCATGTTTCTGACACCCTGTGTGTATTCTGTGGGTGGTGTTAACTCTATAGTCTTCCCATGTGCTGTAGACTGAACCACCAGTGTTATAGAGCTGAAGCAAAGTGCCCTTTAATGAGCAGCCATGTGTGTTGAGTTGGGCCCTGCAGCGCCACCTGTCTCTCTGTTGACCCTGTTTTCCTGATTCAGTGTTATTGCATATAAACAGATTTCAGGAGGTTTGTTCCTAAATGTGAGTTTTGAGTACATATATTTTGTTAAATTTCATTGTAATAATTTAATCTGTTTCAAAAGACTGAATGTAGAGAGATACTCATAATTGTACTTAAACTGATGAGAGAAAAGTCTGAGTGTGTGTGTAACTGCTGAATGAACTTAGGTTTTTCTTCTTTTTTTTTACATGATAGTTTGGTAAATAGAAGATAAGCTGAGGATGTAGTTTATGGATCTGGGCCTGTTTTTTTCAGGTACAACACTGTTACCACAGGAGACATTGAGAGTTTATCTTCACTCTTGCTGTCCAGGTTACATTTCTGTCAAATGTTTGTTTTATTAAGTTCTTTTGAGAATGCTGTTGTTGTTTGGATCCATAAAGACTCTTCTACATTTAACACTTCCAGTACTTTCTTAGGTAATAAACTCAGTTCAATTCTAAAAGTGTCCTCCTTTTCTTGTCTTCAAACAGATCACACATTATTTTAAGTTAGTTTCTATTTCTGTATAAATTTACTCAGTTAAAACTGCAAGTACAGGTAAAACTCAAAAAATATAAATATGGTGCAAACATTTATTTATTTTTATTTCAGTAATTCTAAGTAAAAGGTCAAACTAGCGTGAAATAAACTCAGTTCAATTCTAAGTGTCCTCCTGTTGGGGTAGTAGCATCAGAAGCAGGGACCTGAAAAGGCTCAACAGCCTAATAAAGGCTGGTTCTGTTCTGGGGACGACTGTGGAACCACTGGAGGAGATAATGCAAAGAAGGATTCTCCAGAGAATCAAGAAAATGATGGACAACCCTGAGCATTCTCTTCACAAGACTGTCCGACAACAGAAGAGTGTCTTCAGTCAGAGACTTCTTCAGTTTCGCTGCAACACTGACCGCTACTGGAGATCCTTCCTGCCAACAGCCATTGTAATATACAACAACTCTTTGATTATTATTATTATTCTGAGCTACTACAGCAATCAATTTCCCTCTGGGATTAATAAAGTATTTTTGAATTGAAGTAAATGAGATTGTAGTGCTGCTCCAGAGAATAAAGAGAAACTGGCGTATTTGTCAGAAGTAGGCTGGTTGGATGCGTGGAAGCCGAGTACTCTTGGCATGAACCTGAACGAAAAGATGACTGAGTGGCGTCTTGAGAGAATGACGTGTATTAATTGATGAGCATGATGATGTCGGTGGATCATAACCTCTTACTGAGCAAGCTCAAACATCTAAGACTTTCTCAGGCATCCGTGACATGGCTTAGAAGTTATATCTTAGGCCGTACACAAACAGTGAGAGCAAAGGGTGACCAATCTGCTCCTCTACCTCTGTGGGCAATCCTCAGGGGTCGATACTGGGCTCAACCTTATTCAAACTCTATATTACTAACATTGTTCATGCTGTTGACAGTTCTATTATACATTTATATGCAGAATAGATGACAATATTTTATATGCATGCAGTTCTCTGAATGCAGCTTTGTCCTCCTTGCTGCATAACTTTGTCTTAATTGCCTTCGTCGTGCCTTCTCCAACCTTCATCTTCTTTTAAATACAAGTAAAACAAAGTTCATGATCTTCAACCGTAACTTACCGCAATCAACTTGCCACCCTAGTATTGTTTCACTGGATGGTACAGAACTTCAACTTGTCCATTTTTGTAATTGTCTGGATATGTGCTGTCATTTGACATTCACATTAATTCATTACTTTCTAAAGTCAAGTCAAGAATCGGGTTTCTATACTGCAACAGGTCATCCTTTACTCATTCTGCAAAGCAAGCCTTGGTCAAAATGACAATCCTTCCCATCTTAGATTACGGTGACTTCATTTATAGGACTGCTTTCAAAAAACTTCTTCATAAACTCGATGTAATTTATCACTCAGAAATCCGTTTGGTCACTGGTACCCCTTTCACTACTCATCATTGTGATCTGTACTCACTCGTTAACTGGCCATCGGTAGAACCCCATCATATCTTCACTCATCACTTCCAACAACCAACACAATTTACATTCTAGTAACTTAATCACTACGGTTATTCCCAAAGCTTGCACCACCTTTGGCTGCTCCTCTTTCTATTTTGCTGCTTCCAACGACTGGAATGAGCTGTGTTGAGGGTCTGCCCTCATGAGAAATTGCTACTCAGTATTTTCTCCAAAAGACTGTGTCATCTGCGCTCTGAAAAGCAGAATATATTCCAGCGCCAGCTACAACTTCATTTCCCAGGATTCCCTGCTCCCGGAAGCGGCGTCGTATACTGGAAACAAGCTCTGCGCATGTGCTGGAGCCACACGGAGTCTTCCCGCTGGACCGCCGAGTCTATAAAAGGGAGACAAACGAAACTTATCTTGTCTTTTGTCCAGTTCAACTGGCGTTGAAAGACGCACCCGTTGGCTACGGCTACGGACAGATTGTGCGCGAGGCCTGGGGGCTGAAGTGAAAACTCCGAGTAGCGGAAAACCGTCAAATCAATGGAGAACGCCGATTGGAACATCTGAGAGACGCCTCACTTTCGTTCGTTCAAAGTTTTTCTTTCTCTAACTTCTTCTTCCATTTCTCCTATAGTTCAAAATAAGCAATCACACTGCGCGATTTGCTTTAAAATACCAATGGCTTTCCTGTCTTCCATACCAAAAACGCCATCGGACAACTTAAGTAAGGTCTTTTCTTTCAGTTTAATATCTTAAATAGTTTTTATGCCGTGGCCAGGCTGACAAACTATCAGATATTATTTATGATTGATCTTTTGTGTTGTTTCTTGATTTTTGTGAAGCAGTTTTTGAAGTTTAGTTTTAAGTTTACTGTGATTGAACGTGCTTCGGAAGTTTAAAGTGCAAGTTGCCGACCCACACACACACACACGCACACACATTCTGGTTTTCCCTGTTTGGGGGGACAAGACTAAAACACACATCCATTGGGTCAGATTGTTTTACTGTATTATTTCATTGTTTAATTACTTGTTATTCATTTGATAAAATAAGTTTGTTAATATTGTTTGGCTGAACGCTTCAGAAGGAGCTGAAGTGATTAATTCAGTTAATAAATGTATTGCCAATTAAGATTTAGTCTCAGATTGAGTTTGTTTGTGTGATATGAATTAATTAACTGCAGCTCGTTAAGATTCACGGAACGTTTAGACAAGATTGATAAGAGGTTTGGATTAAATTTTTCCCCTGTTAAAAGGGGTGGTGCACCGTGGATATTCTAATATCCAAATTAATTAATAAATCGGTAAATATTTCCGTATTTACGAATTTATTGATGAATCCAAAAAGTAAGTAAAAGCTTACAGATTATTTGTTTGACCAATAGTCACAACAGCTGCAAAGTCACAGAAGCTCACTGCCGACATTCCATTATGTACCTTCAATAATTCATTACAATCAATAGTTTCTGATCAATGTGCTTCTGAGTACTTGCACATATTGTAAATGAGAACAGTTTGTTGTCTTTATGTCTAATTGTTTATCTCATTTTTGTCTTGTATATATATTTTTTAAGCGGGGTGCAGCAGTGGCAGTTGCCGAGGCAAAATCTCGGGCGTGGGAGGAGTTTGGTGAGGCCATGGAGAAAGACTATCGATCGGCTCCAAAGAGGTTCTGGCAAACTGTCCGGCGCCTCAGGAGAGGAAGGCAGCAACTCGCTCACACTGTTTACAGTGGGGATGGGGAGCTGCTGACGTCAACTGAGGCTATAGTCGGACGGTGGAAGGAATACTTTGAGGAGCTCCTCAATCCCACCAATGCGCATTCCGAGGAGGAACCAGAGCTGGGAGGCCTGGGGATGGACTGTCCGATCTCGGGGGCAGAAGTTGCTGAGGTAGTCAAACAACTACACAGCGGCGGAGCCCCGGGGGCGGATGAGGTTCGTCCTGGGTATCTCAAGGCTATGGATGTTGTAGGGCTGTCATGGTTGACACGTCTCTACAACATTGCGTGGTCATCGGGGGCAGTTCCTAGGGAGTGGCAGACCGGGGTGGTGGTCCCCATCTTTAAGAAGGGTGACCTGAGGGTGTGTTCCAACTATAGGGGGATCACACTCCTCAGCCTCCCTGGAAAGGTCTACTCCAAGGTACTGGAGAGGAGGGTCCGATCGATAGTTGAATCTCAGATAGAGGAGGAGCAATGTGGTTTTCGTCCTGGCCGTGGAACTGTGGACCAGCTCTATACCCTTGCAAGGGTGATGGAGGGGGCATGGGAGTTTGCCCAACCAATCCACATGTGCTTTGTGGATTTGGAGAAGGCTTATGACCGTGTCCCCAGGGGCACCCTGTGGGGGACGCTCCAGGAGTATGGGGTGGGTGGCTTTCTGTTAAGGGCCATTCAGTCCCTTTACCAGAGGAGCGTTAGTTTGGTCCGCATAGCCGGTAGTAAGTCGGACCTGTTCCCAGTGAGGGTTGGACTCCGCCAGGGCTGCCCTTTGTCACCGGTTCTGTTCATCACTTTTATGGACAGAATTTCTAGACGCAGCCGTGGTGTGGAGTGTGTCGAGTTTGGTGGCAGGAGAATCTCGTCTCTGCTTTTTGCGGATGATGTGGTCCTCCTAGCTTCATCCAGCTCTGACCTTCAGCTCTTGCTGGGTAGGTTCGCGGCCGAATGTGAAGCGGCTGGGATGAGGATCAGCACCTCCAAATCTGAGACCATGGTTCTCGACCGGAAAAGGGTGGCTTGCCACCTCCGGGTCGGGGGAGAGGTCCTACCTCAAGTGGAGGAGTTTAAGTATCTCGGGGTCTTGTTCACGAGTGACGGTAGGAGGGATCGGGAGATCGACAGGCGGATTGGTTCGGCGTCTGCAGTGATGCGGACGCTGAGCCGATCTGTCGTGGGGAAGCGGGAGCTGAGCCAGAAAGCCAGGCTCTCGATTTACCGGTCGATCTACGTCCCAATCCTCATCTATGGTCATGAGCTTTGGGTAATGACCGAAAGAACGAGATCGCGGATACAAGCGGCCGAAATGAGTTTCCTCCGTAGGGTGGCCGGGCTCAGCCTTAGAGATAGGGTGAGGAGCTCGGACATTCGGGAGGGACTCGGAGTAGAACCGCTGCTCCTCCGGATCGAAAGGAGCCAGTTGAGGTGGTTTGGGCATCTGGTCAGGATGCCTCCCGGACGCCTCCCCGGGGAGGTGTTTCGGGCATGTCCTGCCGGCAGAAGGCCCCCGGGTCGACCCAGGACACGTTGGAGAGGTTACATCTCCAATCTGGTCCGGGAACGCCTTGGGGTCCTGCCGGAGGAGCTGGTGGACAAGGCCGGGGAGAGGACGGCCTGGAGCTCCCTAATTGGGATGCTGCCCCCGCGACCCGGACCCGGATAAGCGGAGGAAGACGAAGACGAAGAGACGAAGATATATATTTTTTATCTTACCTGTTTTTCGTTAATGTAAAGCTAACTATGTGTCTGTTGCTGCTGCCTCTTGGCCAGATCATTGTAAATGAGAATGAGTTCTCT